TGAAGTGCCCCCCCCCCCCGGGTAAATTTCTGAAATAATCACTGGTGACAAGTAGCCCTATACTATTATTGAATATTATTTGTCTCCAATTTTCTAAACGCCATTAAAGTAAGGTCGTATTAGTTAACTTCCTCTGTTCAATAGTCCTTAGCTTTCTGATTGAAATCTGTATAAGAAATGTTTTTAAAAAAATTAATACATTCATTTTCTATCAACTTGATTGACAGACATAAATAAAATAAAAATATTTTTAACGGAATGTGAATTTATTATATATCAGAAGCAAACGATGATTTAAAAAAAATAAAAAAAATTCATCTCTCGTCAGATCTGACAGAACAACGGTAGCAGACGATTGTGCCTCGGGGCTACGTCATGCGACAAGAAGATATCAAATGATTAGCAGGGTTGGTTCAACATATTACATCCGAGGTTGTCTTTGTTACTTTTTTTTTTGAGCTACATAAGAGACATAGGAATTTTGCTCTATCGTATGTACATTTAAAAAAAAGAAACTTATATCAATTATTCGAAAGAATCAGCGAAATAAATGTGGATATACCTTATATAGATGTTGCTATTTTAAAATGGAGCGCTTTGCTCGACTCATTGTATTTACAGTCACACGAGTGTATTTTAAGACTTCTATCCTTGGCACAACTGCAAAATAAGATTGGTTATAACGGCAAAATAAGAGTGGTTATAGCGACAAAATAAGATTGGTTACCTCGACAAAATAAGATTGGTTACAAGGACAAAATAAGATTGGTTATAATGGCAAAATAAGATTGGCTACAACAACAAAATAAGATTGGTTACAACGACAAAATAAGATTGGTTATAATGGCAAAATAAGATTGGTTACAACAACAAAATAAGATTGGTTGCAATGACAAAATAAGATCGGTTATAACGACAAATTAAGATTGGTTACAACGACAAAATTAGATTGGTTTAATCTTAACCCAAATGCAAGACAAACCACCCCCCACCCCCAATCTAGTCCCCGCCCGGCCTCACAAAAAAAAAATATGTATCCAAAAACTTCGTGCGAGAATACCCTGACCCACGTATATTAAGACTCATAATACAAAAACTGCACGCGCCCCACTACCCACCCAGCTTGTGAACGTTGCCACGACAACATCCTGTTCCGCTTCCGCGTTTACCATTCCTGTACCGTTACCCCCCCCCCCCCCCCCCCC